ACCACCCAACCACCCACCACCCACCACCCAACAAATCAACCAATCCACAAACGCACTCACCCAAACATAATACCCAAATGTACGACCCTCCCAAACCACCCAACCACCCAACCAACCACCACAGCCACCCAACCATCCACTCCAGTCGCCCAACCAACCGCCAGCCCCAACCGACCACTCAACCACCCCATGTTTTAGAGACCGCCTATCCAACCGCCCAACCAACCAACCGACCCTCCTAACCCCCCATCCACCCAACCACCCACCTAACCACACAACGAACCACCCACCCACCCAACCACCCAACAACCGAACTACCCACCCACCCACCCAACCAACCAACCCATCAAACCACCAAACCGCCCACCTAACCACCCAACCAACCAAGCAACCAGCCACACAACCACCCATTCATCCGCTCAACCACCCAACCAACCACCTAACCCAACCGCCCAACCACCCAACCACCCAACTAACCAACCGAACGTACTACTGTTCATAATTAATATTATTATGTTTTGTTTTTTGCAGCCGCGAGACTCGACTCATTGTGTCCGTCGCTTATCGTACGCATTGTGTTGCAGTCATCTTTCGCAGTGCCGTCGGCCAGCCATTGAGACTGTTCATAATTGTCAGGTTCACTTATTCAACCTTGCGACACAACATGGTCGACGTAGTTGTTGTTGTGAAAGAGGCTGTGGATGGAAAGGAAATCGTCGTGAGAGAGACAGTGTGTGAGCGTGATACAGAAAACAAAAGAGACTTTGAATACTAGGAAGGGGTTGTCGCCACGAAAACACGTGTGTACTACGAGTTCATCGATGACACCCTCGCTTTGAGGGTCGTGGCGGGGCTGGGGTACGACGACCTTGATTGCCTTGATGAGGTTGTAATGCACGCAAAAAAGCTTTCGGATGTTGTTCCTGACGCCTGTGAACCCCCCGACTTCGATATAATTGGTCATTTGCTAAGGTGCATCGTGTCAGTCGTTGCGGTCGAGCATGTGGAAAGGTTAGCACGCAACGCATGGTATTTCTCCAAACTCGATCGGCCGCTGCAACCCCGTAGCTTTCTCCACGGAGATGTGCGCAGTGCGATGCCAAAGGACGGTTGCGGACAACAGTGCGAAAGTGCCAACGAACCATCATCCCGCTCGTCTCATGCGTAGTTTGAAAAAGGTGGGTTGACGAACAAAATCGTAAAGGTTTTCAAAATTCGGCAGCGTTCAAGATCGCGACTACCCACTCATCCGATATATATGTATACAGGGCGATCCCCCTCCCCGTACGGTACATGCACAATATCATGTTCGCGTTATTCATTACTCGATCGTTGGATTCATAACTTACGGTCTTGGTTTCTGTGAATTGCAACACTTTTTAAACGTCGTACGTAAGAAGCGACGATACATTGCACGCCAATGATTTTCCGATGTTACCACACCACAAAACTGACAGGCGGCGACACCGTATACTATTACGAATCAATGACTCCCGTAACAGATCCTGTCGACGATGCAGTGGGATACCGCAATAGAGACAAGAAGGTGGTTCGTCATTTCATTGTCAGCGTCGAGGAGGAACGAGTCGTCAGGCTCACTATAGAGACTTATATTCGTGACCACACCATCGAGCACGTTCGTGTCCTAATGTCTAAGTCGACCACGTACTTCAGCACCTTTGTTCTCAAACCGGTCGACGGTGATTTCATGTATGATATCGTCTTTCCCCTTGTACATCGCATGCTATACACACACTACGGGACGGTCGCTCGGGACGGCATTTGACGCCTGGTCGTGTCACCGCCCTATTTTGTCTCCGATGGCGAGGATTTCTCTTCCATGTTTTATCCTTGCAGTGCGATCCAGCGATGAGTACCATTCTTTTTTTTTTTTTCCTTTGTTTTTTCGTTGTTGGAAAGAGACAAAATGATGGTTTCAAATATTGAACATTTTGTGTATACATATGCAATCGTCATCTCCCATGTGTTTGTTATATGTTTTGAGTTTTTTTTATTCGCCTGCTTTGCGTTGTGAAATTTGTTTTCGTTTTCGTTATGTGGAGGTTCAGTACTAAGGTCATCGGTGCCCGTGATGTTGTGTTTTGTAGATTTCTAAAAATTAACATATAAGCGACAGAACAATATTCACCCATTCCCATACATGGACCGCCGACGACGCAGGGCTGGCGTGCGGGCCAACGCAGTCGTGTTTGGAAATGGGACAGATACAGATCCTTTCCTCGACGAGGAGTTGACAGTCGCCGAGACTAGGAGTCGGTGGCCGGAACCCGCAGCGCTTTTGGAGGAGGCTGTTACTTTTGATGGGCTGGACGAGCATCTGCAACAATGCATGAATCTGCTTATTGGTCGTGCAAATCTCGAACCAAAGTAGAATCGTTACAATGGATATGTCGCTTTTTCTCGGCTGTGCAGGTTCGTCGTTTTCTGACAGAGATTGCCAGATGAGTTCCAAACGGCAATGCGGGAACGATGGCCAGATACAATCATTCGAGGTTTTGAACTACGACAATGTGATCCTCTTGAAAACGCGCGTCCACGTCGACGTGCACGGCGGTAAATGCTTCACGGCACTATATATATATGTATATATATATATATATATATATATATATATATATATATAGAGAGAGAGAGAGAGAGAGAGAGAGAGAGTATGCTTGCCTTAAGTGTTAGTACGTATGTAAGTCCGACTGTGTGTTTGCCTGGAAACTGACATTTCCTATTGTCGTGACTTGCGGGGATTGCATTATGTAAAATTTGGTTTCCCTGGTGTACATCATCTTCTTCTTCTTATAATCCTCGATCTCTCATTTGAAGTTCATTTATTTCTTTTTGCTATTGTATGTCATTGTAGCATTAGATGTGTGAAAAAAACGATTCTAATCCTCGCTCTCGCCACTCAAGTTAAAAAAACTGACATAAGATACCATCACATGTGTGAAAAAAAAAAAACAATAAAACATTTTATATATATATATATATATATATATATATATATATATCACAATAATGTCTTACGATTTTTTTCCGGCACTCACACGCATAAAATCTCAAACACGCCCACACATGCATAAGAAGAGGGGAAGAGGAGACAGAGTCAAAACTGCACACGGACAAGGATAAGCAGCGGAATTCAACCATGCACACATGGGGGAGGTCAGACAATGACTCTCACTCTCCGACATACTCCCAACAAACAATCACAATAAAGAACCTCAGCAAGATCACAATTCATATGATGCTGATGATGAGCCAACTCGAACGAATACCATAACAGAGTTTGTTCCAGTCCATTGTTCCCCAATCGATTTCCCTCCTTCTACTAATAGAGTACATTAATCTAACCTACACCTATACCGGACTGACTACCCGACCAACACCGTTGCAATTTCGGCCTCTCGGCCTGTACCGAACCCGACTATAGGCTATAGAACCGTCTATCAGCATAGGCCATTAGGGTCTGTCTGTCCTGGGGGTATTTCGGACCTGCTATTCGCAGCAAGGGTACGTATCGGAAATTCGAAATATTGTTGGGCCTATATTTCCCATATTTACAGATGTGGCCCTCACGAATTTTCCTCGCAGGTTCGTCTCACGATTAGCCCTCAGTCAAACAAAAATACAAATGTAACCCTACGGGGTAGTATACAGCCTCGCCATCAGTCTTGGAAGTCTGACTGAGCAAAAATATATATATATATATATATATATATATAAGTAAAGAGACGGACATAATGTAGCATAACAAACAAGACACCATGAGATGTGTGTGAACAACGCCATGCTCAATGAAATTCGGATCACTAGACCGATGTCAGGTCAACTATAAAGTCATTCAACGAGTCAAACGCTGAACAACTCTATATCGTCACCCTCAGATTCGGAGCTCGATGTCTGGACCCAATCATCGCATGCAGGCACCGCATCATCCTCCACGTGCCCGATGATGAAAACACGGTTCTCTCCCACCGCCTCATGGTCGGAATCTGAGGCAGCATCATCAACGACTTCCACTGCGTCACCCCCACCGTTGACGAACAAATCACGCGGCAATGGCCCGGCTCCATAAGGACAAACCTCCTGCCGCAGAAGCTCTCGAACCCAGTCTGAAACATGAGCCGAACCGAACACTGACGCCGCCAATCTGTCCTCCCAACAGTCGATCGCCTTGTGACCGTAGTGTCGACGGAAGCCTGGTCTCGCATGTATGGAAGTGCCCGCTGCAATGCGAGCAACATACTCGACCGGGTCGCGCCAGCAGTGACTGTTCCACCTAATCACTGCGATCGACAAACGTGCACAGAAAGACTTCTCGAAATGCACCGACTTCTTCGCATAGATAATGATGGTGCCCTGAAAAGTCTCCACCGTCGATGTGTGCCGAAACTCGATGTAGTACGGTGTGATGTTAGTGCTGCATTGTTTATCGAGAACACGCAGAACGAGCTCGTAGACCTTGTCCGTGCGGCTATACAAAGGCAATCATGCACACCCCCCGGCCTTCTCGCACAAAACCTCCCTACTTTCCACACATCCCGAATGATCACCAGCCCAATGATCGGCGGCCAACATGATGTCGCGGTGTAGACTATCGGCGTCTCCGCCCTCCTCCCTGCACAGCTGTCAAGCGTGGAGGAACCACATCCCAACCTCATGCGCATGATACTCTGTCAAGCCGTCTGGATCAGTCTCCAACGCTCGAGCATTCAACCTCGATCCGTAGGGGTACATCTTTCGCATAACGACAGCGGCGAAGTCCGATTTCTTTAGCCGCTCCTCAGCAGGTGTGAGGACGTCAAGTCCAAAAAGTTGTTCCAACGCCTCCTTTAGCCGCTTCTTCGTGAACTGTATGAACTGCGCCTCTGATACACAGTCGTGCGGGCTGCTCACTTTCTTCGCTTCCTTCAGTTGCAGCATACTGTGAAAGTGTTTTCGAATATTTTTTATTTTGTGCTGCCAATCCTTGTGCCACTCGATGTTCATAGCTCGCAACTTCGGTCCCAGCGCACAATCATCCGCGACAACGCACCGGATCTTCAACCCCTTGTCAATCAGCCCTCGCAAAAGTTGCACGACGGCTGGCACCTCAAGCGCATTCGATGCCTTGCCTTCAATCTTCGGACGGAGAGTGTGCACACCTACAACAAGCCGAGTCTCGTACTCCATCGCGGTGACAATGCAATGCTGCGCGCCTCTGGCAGAGTCATATCGACCATCAACCATCAATGTCACTGGCTCACCACGGCGCATCACAGTGTCAATGGCAAACTCGCAATATTTTATGCCCTGTCGTACGACCTTGGCATTCCACCCCTCYGCCCCCCCMGGTTCTGTGCRCATAAACTTGTAGAATGTGGGTTTGTGCACCGAGCACATCCCTAAACAAACACAAAAGTTGTCGAGGAGCGTGAACGTAAGGCCGGCGGTGACCGTGGCATGAAACAACTGCTACATCAGTCGCGACTGATAGACGTTCGTGATAGACGTTCGTGATAGACGTTCGTGATAGACGTTCGTGATAGACGTTCGTGGTCACGAGTGCCGTGTGCCACGTCCATTTGCATTTCTTGTTGCATACGAACGTCAGCTTACAGAGTTGTGCAGGATAGACTCCACAGACACACGGCACGAGCCCTTGTGCCACGGGCAATATAGATGAAACATGGCCAGCAATTGAAGAAGCTTAACCGGCTCCAGAAACACAACATCCGGCGTCGTCGGTCCACTCCATCTACCCATCGCCTCCTCAACACTGGCACGGTCAATTTCAGGGCCAGGACCGCACTGATCAACACCGTCCCAACTATCCCACCACGTCTGCGGCCGGGCAGGTGTCGGTGTGCAGCGACGCGCGCTGCGGGGTCTGCCTCGCCCTTTGTTACTGCGCTGTGATGCACGACGCGATGACGGGAACGAGTTTTGCGATCCGTCATGAGACTCACCCAACCCTTGGCTCGCTGAACCCTGCGAACCCCCCTGACCGTAGTCAACACTGGAACGCCTGGCATATAACGCAACGTGAAATCTCGACCGCACACCCGAGATGGCAACGAAGAAGAAATCCCATCTCCTACCTCGTCTCCAAACTCCGCTTGGATGGCAGGCAAGGACCAGTGCAGCAGCCGATCAATAACGTCGCTGACTGGTCCGCAATGGTCACCCATACCGGCCATAGCGTCGTGGAGAGCGTACAACCGTCTCCGACACGCGTCCAGCACACACACTCGCACGATGTCGTTGCCGCCCGAACACGGTGTGCCGCCGAGTGCCGCTGAGCCATCCACATCATCAAACGGAGGTGTGGAATCTGGATTGACAAAGAGAGTCTGAGGCGGCACCGCAAACGAACCCGCCGTCGCGTCGACGCGAAACGGGTGGAGAACGGAAAGCGTCGCTGCGATCTCCTGGAAGAGAACCGCGTCCAGCGGGACATGGCGGGGCCACCGCATCTGACCATACAGGTGCTAAAGGAATCGTGGCCGCATAGTCCAGCCGTCTGGGCAGCAATGGGGATGGCAGCAACGGAGCACTGTACACACCTCCAAACGTGGCCGCATCACGAAACCCGGCCACACCCGGCGGAGATGCCCCCAACACACCGGCGAAAGGCGAAATGGGTGTCACGTCCGCGCCAACGACGCTGTCAGTCGCATGCGGAATGGTATCGCGGCGCCGTTTCCCCAAACGGACCTCTGGACCACCGCTGTGTGGTGAAACACCCAACAACCCCCGCGCTGCACATGGAGATCGATCGACGCTATGGCGAGGATCGGGGGTACCCTGCGGAGATCCCTGAATGGGCGATGATCGAGCGGGGACAGCGTCTCCGCCTGTCGGTGACATTGTCAATGTCAGGGTCTGCATAACACCGAGAGTCAGACAAGCACGAAGTAAGGACTCAACGAAAACGTGTGTGTGTGTGTGTGTGTGTGTGTGTGTGTGTGTGTGTGTGTGTGTGTGTGT